GAGCGAGGAAGGAAGGAGTTGCACTATCCTTTAAGTTGGGTACTTTATGGTACATTTATCATTTGGATCATGTCTCATTTTCTCCAGCTTATTTGTTGAAAGAAGAAATAAGATATAGTTTACATCAAAGAGATATAAAAGTTGCACTTGCCAGCTGGTAGGCAGGGTTTTGGTGTAACAATGCTTGGAGGGAGCTCCATGGCCAGAGTACTGGTCTTCATTTCTCAAGTATAGATTCCCTATGGCATTACTTTCCCTGAAGTTCATCATATTCTACTGAGCAGACACTAACCAAACTCACAAGATGACAACAGAGAGGACCAATTTATTACCTTTAAAAATAGATTCACTTACCTGGAGAAAAATAACTTTTGCCTCAAGAAGGCTATCCATTGGCAAGTCCTCTCAAACACTGAAGCTATGGATCAGAAGTTTGTTTTGTGAGCACAGGATTAAAGCAAAAGGGATTGGGTATTCATGGAACAGATTATCATGAAGCTATGCAAGCCTAGGATAATGTGCTTCTCCTCTGTAGGGCTGGTTATCTGAGACCACATTGAATCTGGGTGTTTACTTTCTACGTCCCTTTATACCTCCGCCATTTTCCCCTCGACTTTTCCCAAAATCAAATCTTGATTAAAAAAATATTATTTTCCTAGAGACCTTTCAAGTCATGGCCCTTCGGTTAACATTGTTTTTAGAGTGATCAGAAGATAGGTTTGCATATATATTATATATTTCAGAGAGGAAGAAAGAGGGAGAGAGAGATAGAAACATCAATGATGAGAGAGAATCATTGATCAGCTGCCTCCTGCACACCCCACACTGGGGATTGAGCCCGCAACCCAGGCATATGCCCTGACTGAGAATCAAACTGTGATCTCCTGGTCATAGGTTGATGCTCAACCACTGAGCCATGCTGGCCGGGCAGAAGACAGGTTTTTTTGAGTCACGCTGGCCATGTCTGCTGGAGTACTACTATTTCCTTGACTGATGCACTCCCCTCAGAAAATATTTACACATTATCTTACAGGATCACTTCTGCAGGGATTTCAACACATTTGCTATTTGTCTTTCCCCACCCCTAGTTTTATGCTAAAAATGTGAAATGTCATTGACCATAACCACAAATGTAGGAAATATCTTGCTGTAATGTTTTAGAGAACTTCATGCAAGTCAGTTAAATTTAACCTCTGAATTTCCTATCCATAAAAGGCATAGAATATCTTTCTCACTGATTTGGTGAGGTTCAAATGTGATAATTCATGTGAAAGCATTTAGTGAACAGGGAAGCATTATACAAATATCAGGATGCATTTTTAAGTTCTTAGTATTAAAGGTTTATCTTAACCAAGTTCATTAACCACTGGGAGGAAAAGCTTGCCAGAAATAGGCCATAGGATTGGAAGAATAGATCAATGTGCCAATGGGCTGGAGACCAGGACCCTTTTCAGATCCAGGAAATCAGAATCTCGTGAAGGTGGGACCTATACTTTTTCAGATTTTCACAGGTGATTTTGATGGGTAAGAACTACCAGTGTAAGGGACTAATCAAATATATTTAGTATACAGTGCTTAAGTAGCTAGTGAATTGTGTAATGTATTTTAGGAAAAACCCTATACAATAAAAGGCTTATATGCAAATTGACTGAATGGCAGAACGACCGGTTGCTATGACATGCACTGACCACCAGGGGGGCAGATGCTTAATGCCGGCGCTGTCTCCTGGTGGCCAGTGTGCTCCCACAGGGGAAGTGCCACTCAGCCAGAAGCCCTGAGCCAGGCTCATGGCTGGCGGGCACAGCGGTGTTGGCAGGAGCCTCTCCCACCTCCGCAGCAGCTCTAAAAATGTCTGACTGACAGCTTAGGCCCGCTCCCCGTGGGGGTGGGGGAGTGGGCCTAAGCTGTCAGTCAGACATCCCCTGAGGGCCCCTGGACTGCGAGAGGGTGCAGGCCAGGCTGAGGGAACCCTCCAAGTGCATACATTTTATGCATCAGGCGTCTAGTGTCTCATAAGAAACCAGTAGAAAAGCTAGAACTACTTAATCAAAATAGGACTATTTAAAAAATATCATTCTGCCTGTAATGCATATTTTCATGAAGCTGACTATCCTTTTTCCACTGTTTCTTTAGGTACTAAAAGATGGGCGTTTGGTAAACAAGAATGGACCCTCTGAACCTATTCTGACAGTGTCACTCTTTGGGAGATGGTACACTAAGGACTCACATTCCAGCTCAGGAGGGATCAGCAATTTGGAAACAACTAACCTGCTAATAGCCACTTTTTTAATGATCATAGCTTTGCAAATATTATGATGGTATAAGACATCACTTTTTCACATTTATTTTTGCAGCATATATTTTGCTAAATGTGTTTATTGGCTTTTCAAGTTTACTAAGAAACTTTGAAGGGCGATCTCAATGGTATAGACCAGTGATGGCGAACCTATGATAATGTGTGTCAGAGGTGACATGCGAACTCATTTTTTTGGTTGATTTTTCTTTGTTAAATGGCATTTAAATGTATAAAATAAATATCAAAAATATAAGTCTTTGTTTTACTATGGTTACAAATATCAAAAAATTTCTATATGTGACATGGCACCAGGGTTAAGTTAGGGTTTTTCAAAATGCTGCCCACCGAGCTCAAAAGGTTCACCATCACTAGTATAGACCAATGATTTTCAAATATGTACATTTCTCACCTTGAATTATTTTTAAGTATTATGGTAATGTTTCCCCCTGGTACTTAGGTCAGATAAAGGAGGATCAAATCTTAGCTCTAACCATATTTACTGTGACCTTGTGTGTGCTGGTGTGCATGAGGGGCAGAGTGAGAGCTTCAGGGTCATTGTAAGCAGATTTGTGGCCTTTGAAGACAGAGAGTCTTATGACTGAATTCCATTTAACATTAAAGACAATTTGCATTCACCTACTTTTCTGTGCTAATGATTAGGGGGAAATTTGCTTCCCAATCAGATGGTAATATTGAAGTTTATCTTCACAATGAAAGTTGTTTTGAGATGTTCTAGAAGCAATGAGAGCTAGTCCAGGTTCATATCAAAGGAGACCTGACTCAGGGCATTCATAGCCTTGAACTATCTCACCTGAAGGCTGTGGTATAATTTAACAGGCTCCAAATCCCATAAGACAAAGGTCATGACTGTTAATAGTAACACTGTTTTATATATATATATATCTACTCCAAATACAGTGTATTTGTTACAGGTCATTTAATGCAACTATTCTTAAAATTAAGGAAATAAACTTTCAGAATTTTTTAGATTTCATTATCTCCAAAATTATTTTAAGCCTAATACTTGCACATTAAAATATCACAATTGAGGCATTTATGCTTTGTTTTTATATATTGTATATATACTCCTTATAGATTAAACTTGAATCTTCTATTAAAATGGAGTAGGCAGCCCTAGCCGGCTTGGCTCAGTGGATAGAGCATCAGCCTGTGGACTGAAGGGTCCCAGGTTCAATTCCAGCCAAGGACACATGCCTGGGTTGTGGGCTCGATCCCCAGTGGGGGGCATGCAAGAGGCACCCGATCAATGATTCTCTCTCATCATTGATGTTTCTGTCTCTCTCTCCTTCTCCTTTTTTCTCTGATATCAATAAAGAAATATATTTTTTTAAAAAAATAAAATGCAGTAGGCAATGAACCTAAAAAACAGTGGGTGGCACTTGCTCCATAGAAGACAATGTCAAGTGGAGGAAAAAGAGAGGAGGCAAGCCATGCTGGGCTCAAAGAGAGAGCCTGCCTGGGGCTTAGAAATTGCAAAGCCCTAAGGAGTTTCCTTATGAAACAGCACTTATTAAAAAACAAATGCATATTCAAAATTATTTTTAAATTATTATGAAAATGTTCCCCACATACAGATATGTGTAAAGGATTGCATATTAGTCATCTGTGTACCCACTGCTCAGTTGTACAATAACAGGTTATGAATAGAGTGGCATCTTTTGTATCGTCCTCTGATCACATTCTCCTCCTTTCCCTGTTTTCTTCCACCAGAGGAAAACAACATCCTATTATTTTTCTAGATCATTCCCAGGATGTCTTGGTAGTTTATTACATACGTACATAGCCGTACTTGTTACTTTTTTGTTTTTGTGTGTATATATATGGTATCAAATTATACATAACATTCTGCATAGTTCTTATTTTTATATTGAACATTGCAAACTTAATCCATGTAAATAAGCATTGCTCTATTTCATGCATTTTCACTGCTATATGATGTACAATTATATGAATGTGTCAGTTATTAAGCTATTAAGAAGCCAACCCACCCTTCTATAGTCTTTGATTCTGGGGCTGGGTTTAGGCAAACATACTTCTTTGCCAGATGACTCCCTGTCAGTTCTCCAATAGGGGAGTGTTAGAGGAATATGGAAGAATAGAAGAAGAGAGAAAAGGCTTACTCCTTTCTGTTTGCTCACCTATCAGTGTTGTCTCCTCAACAGTTATTGTACCTGATGGCACTATTTTGTTCCAGTAGCACTTGGTTCTAGTTTTCCGTTTTTCCCATACTCTCACACCCAAAGTCATTGTCCTTCTTCAAACCTACCGGCACCAGCACATGCCTCCTCAAGAAATTTGAGGCCCAGCTATTGGGGCCTCTTCTGAGGACTTGGTTCATCAGCACCAGCTGGAGAGGGCCCTCTCCTCAGGGGGCTGAGCCTTAGCTCCCCAGGGTCCTCTGGAAAGCTAGCTTCTAACACCCTCCTCTTCCTTTTGTTTACAAATACCAGAAATGGTAGCTGCTTTCTGTAGTTGCTGTGTTATCCCAGTGTTCCTTTTTTTTTTTTTTTGTCTTTCATTCATCAAATACCTGTGTAACCAAAACCCAGTATTAAATTCTCTTAAAATAACCAGCGTGGATTCTGTTTTTCTGGTTGCGCATTGCCTGATACAGTGGATAAAACAATATTTATCTGTCCTTTCTTTTATTGATGAATATGGTGAGCATGGCCCAGCCTGCTGCACTGAAATCATCTTAAGTGAACCTGATGATGTAATCAATAAACAAAAGGTGGAAGCGTTCAACAGTAGTATAGTGACAGCCCCAGGCACGTTGTCATGACCTCTCACCCAGTCATCAGTAAAAAAGCAGCAGTCCCATTGTCTGGCTTTTTCTGACCTGCCAGGTTCTTCACTCCATGAGGGCAGCTGAAATCATGACCTTTGGGTGCACCTCTGTGAGAATATGGGCTTTGTGGCCACTTATATCCTCGATCTCAAGCGTTGATGTTAGAAGTAACAAGAGGCTGGATCACAGTGAGTCTTGTAGGTATTGCAAGAACTTGGCTTTTTATTCTAAGTGAAGTAGGATGCCATTGAAAAGTTTTGAGCAGTGACACAATTAATTTTACGTTTTAATAGGATCACTCTGACTGTGTTGAGCAAAAGTAGAAGTAGTGGTTCAAAAACCAAGCAAGGAGGTATTGCAATAATCCAGGCCATAAGACTTACAGGCTAAAGATCACCTGAGTGAACTGTGTGTAGAGTGAAAGGCAAAGATAGAAGTAAGGATAATATCAAGGGCTTTCACATAAAAAGCTGGAAGAGTAAATAAGTCATTAACTTAGATCTGAAAAACTGCGGGAGTGTTGGGAGGGGAAGGTCAAAAGTTCAGTTTTGTTTATTTTGATTTGATCTGTCTTTATCTATCCAAGTGGGGATTTTGAACAGACTGTTGTTGGAAATAGCCTGGAGTTCAGGAGGAGAGTCTGACCTAGAGGTACAAATCTGTGAGTCATGAATACGTAGGTGGTATTTAAAGCCACGAAATGGATGAAATCACCTGGGGAGTGAGGTAGATAGGAAAACATTTCAAAGAATCCGGCTCCAGGTTATACCAATGTTAAGAGGTTAGGGGTGATAAGAAGGAACCAGGGGATAAAAAACCCCCCACACACAAAAGAAACTACTAAAACCAAGCAGGAAAGATGAATACTAAGAGACTGTGAAGGAGGAAAGCACCCCAAGAATGAGACAGCAGTGGCTATGTAAATGCTGTCAACATGTCAAGTAAGATGAGACTGAAAATTGAATAATGGATATAGAATGTGGAGGTCATTGGTGACCTTTACAGGACGGCGAAATCATGGTGTCAAAATGCTGATGGGAGGAAAGGAATTAAGACAGAGAGTATACACAACCCTGTAATGGAGTTTTGGTATAAAATGGAGTAGAGGAATCGTACAGGAAATGGAAGGGGATGCCAGATCAAGGGAGTTGTTTATTTTTTAAGGTAAAAGATAGAACAAGACAATTGTATGCTAATGATAATAACCTAATAGACAAAATAAATTGATGGTAAAGATTAGGAGAGGAATTGCTAGAATAATGTCTTTGGGAATCCAGTGTACAAGGACAGATGATGAACTTAGAGGGTCATGTACAGTCATTATAATGAGAGGAGGGGAGGCAGAGTTGATAGGTACGGATGCTAGCAGGTAGGCTGATGCTTGGTGGGAGCCATCTGGTTGGATAGGCAGGCTTGGATTTCAAGAGAGAAGTTTGAGCTAAAGATAGAGAGACACAGTAGTTTTTAGTTCGTAGAAGGTAGTTGAAGGTATGAAGTAGAAAAGGATCCATTATGTAGGACAGACAGTAGAAAAGGAACAAAAACCAATGAACAGCAATGTGGCTACTGACCACAAGTGCTTAAAGAGTTCAGAGAAGAGAGCAGCAATAAGGATTGGAGAGGTGGGGGATTTGAGTTGGAGGGCAGGAGTTATTGAGGAATCATTCCAGGATCAGAGCAGTACTAAGCATATACTATATAATAAAAGGCTAATATGCAAATAGACCAAATGGCAGAACAACCAGTCACTATGATGTTCACTGACCACCAGGGGGCACATGCGGAACATGGTGGATGTTGGCCAAGGCGGGATGGTGGAGTAGGAGAGCGGGGGTGCCAGACTAAGGCAGGGTGCTGGTCACTGTCATCGGGGTAAGCCTCTGGTGGTTACTGAAAATTCTTTGCTCCTGCACGCCACAGTCCCACCCGGTACTCACACCTGCTACCGGCACCAGCCCCACTCGCACCTGCTGCCAGCAGGTCCCAATTGCTTGGTGCTGTCAGTGGGTGCAAGCAGCAGCTGCCAGCCCTGATTGCCCCTGAGGGCTTCTCCACCTCGCCCTGCTCCTGAGGGGTGCTTGGGGCTCACACCCGCTGTTGGCACTGGCCCTAATAGCTCCACACTGTCAGCGCATGGGAGTGGCGGCAGGAGTGGGACTGCCAGCAGAAAGGGGACAGGAGGCCACAGCAGGAGGGGCCAGGTGGGAGCATGGAGGATGAGCTGAGACCCGCCCCTGTGCCCACTGCAGCCTCATGGCCCACAGTTCCTTTCAAGGTGCACGAATCCATGCACTGGGCCCCTAGTTTATATATATATAAAAGCCTAAGCAACCATCCAACCATTCAACTGTTGCCCAGTAGCTATGACACACAATGATCCTTAGTCGAGGTGTGCAGGAGGCAGCCAATCAATGACTCCCATCGTTGAGGTTTCAATCTCTCTCTCCATCTCCCTTCTTCTCTCTAAAATCAATAAAAATATATTTAAAATAAATAAATAAATAAAATTTGGGGGGGAAAAAGTTTCTTTTCTGATTCCTCTGAGTGCTCGACTGTTCGTTCTTCAGTGCCATCTGAATATTGCTGCTATAACACTTCTCTTGAAAATGTGTGCCTTACACATTTTAAAGCAGAATTGTATTTTTTTCATATAAAACTTTAGATTCTGAACTTCTTAATCCCACAATAATTCCAAACTGTCATTCAAGTGATGTACAAATACCTAATTTACATAACATGCACAATCCCTATTCCTGATACATATATGAAGCAAAGGCATTAGTAACCACACTGGAAATAAAATAGTTCATCTAAGTTTCTATTGATTTCAAAATAATAAAAAGTTGGTACATTTCCTGGTATTGGGGCCTGGGAGAATATGGGGAAATTCCCATATGTTTCCTTTTGATTCTATTCAGAAAGGCAGGTGATTAAGACAAGTGCGAGAATTTCAACCTGAAATATTAAAAGCAGTCCATTTGTTTTACACAGTTTCCATCTTGTCCTTAGATATTTTTCTAAAATGAATTTGCCTCTGATGGGTATCAATGGCCTTTATACTTAAGGAATTTATAAGGATGACATTTATAAGAATTAAGAGAGAATTTAGAACTCTCTTTGAATTATCTAATAGAAGCAGAGAGCAGGGTTGGAACTATCTGTTTACACTGTAGAAGATACACAAAATAAACTGCATCTCAGTGCAAGAGAAAAAGTTCTAAAAATTTGCAACATTCAAACATGGAATAGATGGGACTTTCAGGTAGCTGGATCCTTCATTCGACATTTATTCATGTATTGGGCTCACAACCTGTCACACATGTGCTGGGGTGATGAGGTTTAGAAATAGGTAAGACACTTCCTTGTCCTCCAGGGGTCACACCCTGGGATGCGTCATTACTCAAAGATTATTTTACATGGATGTTCCGGATTTCTTTTAATCTCTTTAAGAAGACAAAACATGCATCTGCAAAACTAAATATGAGTATAAGATTTAAATTAAGGGTCAAGAAAACAGCAAGCAGTGAGAGACATTCACCAGGACAAGAAAAAAGTGCTAAGAGCGTTCAGAAATCTCACTTAGGATTGGAATAGATTTGAGAAAGTTTACAAGGAACTGGAACTTAGGCAGATGGAGAAAAGGACATTTCAGGGAAAAATGAGTATATAATCATCTAGGTAGAGCAGTACATGAAATGTTCAGAGGTCAGAGAATAATTCAACATCACTGAATAAAGATGTCCAATAGGCAAGTTGTGGAAATAAATCAAGAATGATTTGGATTTGATGAGTTATACATTTCCTAGTAAACATAAGTGTTAATCTCTAACTGTTAAAATAACAAGTATTGCCCTGGCTAATGTTGCTCATTGGACAGAGCGTTGGCCTAAGACTGAAGGGTCCTGGGTTCAATTCCGGGTCAGGGCACATGCCTGAGTTGTGGGCTCAATCCCCAATAAGGGGCATGCAGGAGGCAGCCCATCCATGATTCTCTCTCATTGTGGATGTTTCTCTCTTTCTCTCCTTTCCTCTCTGAAATCAATAAATATATTTTAAAAAACCAAGTATTTATCTGTATATTGCAAAGTCAACTTGCTTACCCCTCATGGAGCATGGACCACATCTCAGAATTAGCATTTTGAATACACTTGTCCCCCCTTACCCACAGTTTTGTTTTCTGGGGTTTCAGTTGCACACAATTAACTACAATCCAAAAAGATTAAATGAAAAACTCCCAAAATAAACAACTCATAAGTTTAAAAATTTTTTTTTTCCTTTTTAGAGAAAGAGGGAGGGAGAAGGAAATAGAAACATCAATGCGAGAAACATCCATCAGTTGCCTCCCTTACAAGCCCTGACCAGGGATCAAATCCACAACCTAGGTATGTGCCCTGACCAAGAATGGAACCTGTGACCCTTTGGTGCACAGAGCGATGCTCCAAACATCTGAACCACATGGGCCAGGGCAGCAATTTGTAAGTTTTAAATTATGTGCCATCTTAACTAACATAAGGAAATGTCACATTGTGTTCCCCTGAAGACATTAATCTTCCCTTTAACCAGTGTGTCCATGCTGTATACATTCTCCACCCACTAGTCACTTAAAAGCCATCTATGTTATCAGATCAACCCAGGGATCACTCACCATCATTGACCATGTGATAATCTATCTATATTTTACACTGTTTAGATAAAATTCCAGTATTCTAGACTATTAGGCAGTCTTTTCAAGAGAAACTGGCAACTGTGGTTTCTGCTGATATCCTCTTATGATGCAAAAACTCAGGACCTTTGATCAGGAACAAGTGAGCCCAGCCCAGCCAGTGTAGCTCAATGGTTGAGCATCCACCTATGATCCAGGAAGTCACGGTTCAATTCCCAGTCAGGGCATATGCCTGGGTTGCGGCTCAATCCCCACTGTGGGGCTTGCAGAAAGCAACCGATCAATGATTCTCTCTCATCGATGTTTCTATCTCTCTCTCCCTCTCCCTTCCTCTCTAAAATCAGTAAAAATATATTTAAAAAAGAGAACAAGCGAGCCCAGACATTAGCACGTATAGAACTCTTCCTCCTTTTGCCATTTTGTGAGCTCTTAAAGCTGGGACTTGCTTTGTACCCTGTTCGGTGTCTGTCACAGTTATGAACGTAAGTTTTCAACATATTGTTATTATGATGCTTGCCTACTACAATGGTCCTAATATTAGCCCTATTAATGGAACCACTGAACTACCAGGAAAATATATTTTACTAAAAGAAAAGAGCTTTAGACTGAGGTGGACTTATCTGATTGGCTCCTTAATTCCTCCTTTAGCGTTCGATCGCCCTCTGAACATTGTCAACAACCACGCTGCACACTTGAGTCAATCCAATTGTGTAATCCTGGCCGTCAGTTTTCTTGGGCAACATCTTTTCTCAAGGCTGTCCAATGTGTTCTGTACAATTGTGTAATACATTCGTGAGAAATATAAATAGCTGGTAGCAGGCAGGGCTTTAACATAAAATTTTTTCCAGTGATACACAATCTAAGAATCTGAGTTTATCCAAGAGCACTAAATTGTAGCTATGATTACATCCTATTTTCCAAAATATGTGGCACCTTTTGCCCTCTTTGTCCTGAGTGTTGGCGCGCTGGACACGTTCATTGCTGCAGTGTATGAGCATGCGGTTATATTACCAAACAGAACAGAAACACCTGTTTCTGAACGAGAAGCTTTGCTCCTGATGAGCAAGAATATAGATGTTCTTGAGAAAGCAGTTAAACTGGCGGCCACGCAGGTATTACCCTTTTTATACTGCCTGGGATATTGCAAAGGAAATTTGAAACTTGAAGGAGTGTGAGTGTTCAGAATTGATGAGAAAGTTCTTTGTTCCCTCTGGTTTGGGTAGGGTGCTCATATCATTGTGACCCCAGAAGATGGAATTTACGGCTGGGTCTTCACAAGGGAGACCATTTACCCCTATCTGGAGGATATCCCACACCCGGAAGTAAACTGGATTCCATGTACAGACCCTCAGAGGTAATGTCATTACTCTTTGATTTTTGAACAAAGCATTGTGATATTGTAAAATACCAATAGCAAATTCAGTAAACTCGCCTAGTGTTCTTGCTGACAAATAATCAATCTATGACATTGGACCTAGATGCCTCTAATGCTTCATAAGGTGTGCCTTCTGGCACATGCCCCCTGTTTGGTGAATGACTTGAAATGATGATGATTGGTTGGTTATTTATTGCAGTTTTCTTTGATGAGTAGTATAGTATGTATATGCATGGTTTTATAATAGATGTGCTTAACTGGGTTTCAACGAAGTGGGAAAACTGTGACATCTGGGATTTATGTTCCAAATTTAAGTAGATAGGTTCACCCATGAACACATGCCTCTTTTTAAGAATGGTATAAAAGATGAATAGGCTATGTTTTCAAAGAGTTTTTTAAAAAATATATTTTTATTTATTTCAGAGAGGAAGAGAGAGGGAGAAAAAGATAGAAACATCAATGATGAGAGAGAGTCATTGATCAGCTGCCTCCTGCACACCCCACACTGGGGATTGAGCCCACAACCCGGGCATGTGCCCTGACCAGGAATCTCCTGATTCATAGGTTGCCACTCAGTCACTGAGCCATGCTGGCCGTGCTCAAAGAGCTTTGGTATTGTTATCATTTGAGACATAATCAGTATGGTGAGTGGAAACTGCAGTCTTGAAAAAGGAAGTGCTTTTTCTGAGACCACATTCTACCACCTTCTAGCTGAGTGATGTGGGGTATGTCACCTAAGTGCTAGATGTCTCTGTTTCTTTATCTGTAAAACAGGAATAATAACATTTCTTCTCCTACTTCCCTTACAGAGTAGACAAGAGTGTCAAGTGAAGAAATACACATGGAACCTGTACACTCTCATGCCCAATCCACTTAGCTATCACTATTACTCTTGCCAACAGAAGGAGCAGAATCTAAACTCTTTGTTTTCTTGTCCTTTGAGAAATTCTAGCAATTATTTATAGTGGTAGTTTAGACTTAACTATCTTTTTAAAAACAGTATAAAGCATAAGAAAGATGTATGAAATAGATCATGTTAGGTGTACCTATTTTTAAAAATAGTTCATATATAATTCCTTTAAATGGCAAAACCAATGCATTAAAAAGTTATTTAAGTTGCTAATTTTAAATTTACATGCATCTGTTCAGAACTATATCTATTGCACAAAAAGAGGAACTTAATTAATTTTGATTATTGGAAATTGATTAGAATTCTCCGTTGCCGCAACGTGGGAGCTCTACTATGTGAGCCAAATCTCGCCCTGGGATTTCTACCTCTGGCAAAAATATTCTTTGAATGTCACAGTCTGTGTTTACAGGAACCAGTAACCATGACTCAATGTTTACTCGATTTTGGAGCTTTTCCCAGAGCAGGAAGGACTCATAATTTGCAGTCATTCAAGAGGCTTATACTAAAACACTCCCTTTTTGCCTGAACTGATTACATGGACTTTCCCAGGGGAAAGATGTCTGGAAGCCTAGTTAATATCTAACTAATTATTTTTCAGTGGAGAAGATAGGTGACTGATGAAGCTTTAACATTATTGGTCTTGCAGACACTTATTCATATGACAAATTTGCAGCTCTGAGTTGTAAAAAGGAGAAATCTAGTACTTAATATAAGGGTAATGTTGGTAAAAAAAAATAACACAAAAAACTATTGTTTCTTCCCTAGTAATATTTATCCTTAAAAGAGATAATAGAGGGACCATGTGGTTGTTTTTTCCATGTTGAAATACTATCAATTAGAATACTGACATGTCTCAATCTTCCTTGGGCTTTTCTCATGAGGAGCTTATAGGAAATATTAAAGTACCCTAATTAGCCAAGAAAATAAAAATTAAACAAGTTGTATAATAATTTTATTATAGGCCTTAATAGATATGAATGTTGACAATATGCCGTATTTTTTTGGAAAATAAAAAATAAATGGTCTAAAACAATAGTCATAAAGCTGTTCTTTCCATTAAAAGATTAGCTTGACATTAATTGCAGAAAAGCTGAGAGGTCATGGAGAGAGCCTGAATGGCCTCTAAAGGAACCAGGTCTCAGTTTCCTGGGCTGTCTTCTTGTAGTTACAAAATCTGTAATGGCCATTACTCATTTATTGAGCACCTAATTGGTCCCAGGAACAGTACATTATTTCATTCAATTTATGTAGCAGGAATAACTATTTCCACTTAAAATATGAGGTAAAGGGGGGCTTACAATCTCACCCCTGGTAATTAGCATGTCTGGAACTCAGTGCAGCCATTTCCATTGTCCATTCTAACGGAATGTCCTCTGAGGGCCTGAACGCACCGTATTATATTTGAAATTTCCAGTTACGAGTGAATCCACCTCTTTGACAGCATGTTCTGGTTGCTAAATATTTTGTATTTTATTTTCTGCTGAAATCTCTCTACAACTTTTTTTGGTCTTTGTATCGCCTCTATAGTATGTTCATGTCTATGACTCATCTCCAAATTAGAACCTTCCAAGTACATGAGGCCAGCTGTCACTCCCCCTGTTTCATCATCTCAATTCCTTCTCATTTCTAGGATAAACATCCTAGATATTTAATGCCGATGTGAATGGCTTTGACATTACTTTGAAAAGCAATTTTATAGTCTGTATTATCTTAGGGTGTGTGTTGCATTGACAGATTGAAGAAACTGAGTCAGAATAGTGAAGTGCTGTTTTTTTTCCTGGTCCTTTATTTTCTTTCTTCTTAAAAAAAATTATATATATATATTGAGTGGCCATATTATTATGACCACCTGACGTTTGTAGGCAAATTAGCTATAATTTCATGCTGAAGTTGCTAGAGGGCCAGATCATTATAAACGTCTGAATAGCACAACATACCTAAGTATCATTGCTGATCAAGTTCATCCTATGGTGTTGATGGCGTATCCCAATGGAGTTGGCTTCTTCCAACAAGACTTCCAATGTGCTATGCCATGGTACTTGTATTGGGTAGAAGTGCTTTCAAGAACATGAGGGAGACTTTACCTTGCTTAGGTGGCCCCCACAATCACCAGATCTCAATCCAATTGAGCATTTGTGGGACGAAGTTAAAAGAGCCATCAGGCAGCTGGTTCCACAACCATCAAATCTCACAGAACTGGACAGTGCCATTCATCAGGCATGGTGTCAGATTCCTCGCATCACCTTTCAACATCTCGTGGAATCAATGCCAAGAAGAATCGCCGCAGTAATGAAGGCAAAAGGTGGCCCAACGAAGTACTGATGGGGTGGTCATAATAATCTGGCCCGTCATAGTAATCTGCCACTCAGTGTATATTTCAGTACTAAATGCTGCATTTGTTCTCTGTAGAAGATGATTTATATAGGGCCCGCTATTTACAGCCTCCTAGTAAGACTATGGCTTAGATGATAGAAAAGGTCCTCCCCTTTAGAAGAGCCTGTTAAATTTCAAGCCCTTCGTTTGCCTTCCTGGGAGTACTTTATAGGAGAAAGTGTGCTTCTCTTTTTCCTCCACCACCTTTTCTGTGCTTCCCTCTCTCACTGCAATCTGGAGTTTGGCACAATGAAATAGGTTAGCTTTGATAAAGATGACATTTATATTGCATGTGAGTTTCTTGATCTTTTCTGTTGATTCTTAACCTAGAGCTGTTGTGTTATATGTAACAGGCAAATAAAGTATCACTTTGAAAGTTCAGAAATCGCTAAAATAATAAAAAATTTAAAGCAATATCTATTGAATTAGGTTTGGCTATGCCCCAGTGCAAGTAAGGCTCAGCTGCCTGGCCAAGGACAACTCTATCTATGTTGTGGCAAATATTGGGGACAAGAAGCCATGCAATGCCAGTGACCCTAAGTGTCCCCCTGATGGTCGATACCAATACAACACTGATGTGGTGTTTGACTCTCAAGGAAAACTGGTGGCACGCTACCATAAGGTGAGATTTATTTGCGTCTCAGCGAAACTTGATTGACTTCTTCTGTTTGTTTGTGGAATGTATGTATACTTGTCTTTTGAATGTAGGTGAGAGAACTGCCTAGAAAACATTTCTTAGTTATTACATTTTAGTTGAAAAATATTTAATTTAGTTTGGTTTTATATATATGGGTTTGGAGTTTAAGTTAGCTTCACAAAGTTTTTAATATTCTGTGAGAAAGAAGGAGAAATGCTCTGTTTTATCCCTGATTTAATACTAGAGTTAGCTTTTGGGCCCAATTTGTTAACATTGAGTACTAAGCTTTAGTCATTCATTCCATTATAACATTTTTTTAATGCAATACACTGTGCCCTGTTTGCTTATGACTCTCCTGATGCTCTCTGTCCCCAGAGGCGTGTGCACCCATGTTCACATAGACAGCATGCCTCTCTTGCAAAGCTCCGCATGCAATTCAGACTCAACATGTCTTTAACAGAGAACACACTGCATTTTCCCTCTCATGTACTTTTCAGTCTCTGTTCTGTTTCCTGGCACTTCCATCCCCTGAGTTATCTCAGCACTGTTCAATGCGTATCCCCTTCACATATTCAGTGGTCTGCTTTTCCTCATTCCTGCCTTCATCTCTTGCTTATGGAACTCTTGCTATGTGGTATTCAAGGCCTAGGCTCTTGGATGTCAAAATGGTGTCTTAGCTTAGATAATCCTTCAGAACCCTGATCAAGTGTTCAATTGCAGGTAGGTTTTTTGGGGAGGTAGTTCAAGGAAATGCTGGTAGGAGAGTAGATACTGGTGGGCTGGAGCCAGTTATACTGACTTAGTGGACCTAACTGTGCCCATCTCTTCTTAAATTCATGTTCAGCGAGGCCATGTTGGTAGCTTGAAATAGGCTGTAATGGGACTATTTACACCACAAAAATTGGCCCATGGCCACAAATGAAGATTCCCCATCCCTCACCCCAAGAATTGGTGGTTAAACATTTCTCAGTATTGTTTTGGGAGCAAGGAATTAAAACAGGGAAGGGCAGAGTCGGTAAAGTGGCTTTATCATGAGAGTTACACTGTAAACAACTAGAGTGGGATTCCAGTGAAGAAAACTATGGAATTCAGGTTAGAATATACACCTCAAAGTTATCCCACTGGAGCAGTGAGGTATTAATATACTACTTCCTACCAGTTACTGGCTGAGGGCTACCCTTGGGGCCCAGTCGGATCCAGTAGCCAGAGGAAGTACAACAATAAGGCCTAAGCGGGTACAGGTGGGGCTGAGCACCCAGATTAGTAAAGGCTAATTAGTGATGTGTGGTTATTATCTTTTTCTCCCCAGACCTTGACTTCATGGATCTCATAGGGGAAGACCGACAGTGGACGCTGGGGAGGAAGTTACTGCAGGTGAATGACACTGTGACTTCAGAAGACACAGACCTTCGAAACAGCAAGAACTGCACTGAACCAGGTAACTGACAGCTGCACTCTGGGCAGTGGCTGCTGTTTTCTCTGCTTTGGGCTAAGGAAGAGTTGGATGCCATGTTTTTTCTTTGAATTCTAACCCAGAGAGACTTTAAGGACATTTAGGGCAAATGTCTAAGAAACTCAAAGGTGAGACCCCAGGGGACTATGCAGGTGTGTTTGTACCTCTTTTCTTAGGGCATCTGAAGAAAAGGTAAGTCAAAGTCATAGGAAATACAGTGATAGGGAGCCCCGTCATCGCCTTTGTTATGGGAAAGAATGGAGTCAAACGTGATAGGGTGCGCCTTGTCTCAGGACCCCTTGCTTTTTATTAATACAATTTGTCTTAAGGCAACGTAGAGATATACACATCAAAGGGTAAGGTTTCGTATACACAAGCATTGTCAGATTGGGGAAATTTGTCTATGGCTGTTCAGGTGTTTGGCTGATGGGAAGCAATAACATGTAGATTAAGATGCCCTGAGCTGTCTGGCAGCAAGCAATCATTTTTGCATCCTTTTCAGGTTTGGGGAAATGCCCTTCAGCCACTCCAGATTCAGCCCTGCTGTCTGGAATTGGCTTCAGTAGCTTAAGCTAAAAAAAAAAGAAAGAAGCCATCTAAGTCAAATGACAATTTCTGTGTAAGCAGTCACAGAGTCAAATTATGCCAATGTAACCTCTATCTCCTTGCCTATCTTGAAAATCCTTTGCTTTCATAAGTTTGTATTTAATTTCTTGTGAGAATGATTCTATTAGTTTGTCACCATGCACAATTTGAACACAATATTTGTGTTTCTTTGTGTCACCGATAGGGAGTGGAATCTACGCACCGGAAGCAGTCCAGGTGTATCACTATGACATGGAAACAGAGAGTGGCCAGCTGATGCTCTCAGAATTGAAGTCCAGGCCTCGAAGGGAACCCACCTTCCCTGCACCTGTTGACTGGAGTGCTTATGCCAAAGGCATCAAGCCAGTCTTGTCTGAGCAGTTGGATTTTCCAGGGATGATTTATTTTGATGAGTTCACCTTCACTGAGCTTAAGAGAAATGCAGGAAGTTACACAGTGTGCCAGAAAGACCTGTGCTGTCACTTAACTTACAAGATGTCTGAGAAGCGAACAGATGAGGTGTATGCACTAGGAGCTTTTGATGGACTGCACACAGTAGAAGGCCAATATTACTTACAGGTAGAGATGCTTAAATATGTTAGAATGGCTTCTTTATACATTTTTCTTCTAGGCCATCTTTGCATTCAAGAACAGAGGAATTAGTTCTCAGCAGGCCAGGTTCAAGTTTTAAAAGTGCAAATTTCATGCATTCTCTTTTTTGGTCAGGTTACTTTAGGGAAGTATTTTTAAAACTGTCTTCCACTAGAGCCCAGAGTAAGAAGTTCATTTCACATCCTGACCCAGTGCAATCAAGATGTGTGACTACATGGAAATTGTTACTAAATATTAAATATTTAATTGAAACAAACATTTATGAAATAATTCAAATTAGAAAAGCTATATTTATGTGCAATTTTAAATACTCTGATTTTTAAAATTCTAATCTATTCCATTCAGCTTCACTGAGAAAAAAAGAGCTAATTCTGACCCACAAAGTTGATTTTAGGATTCACTAGTAGATTATGACCTATAATTTGAAAAACTGCATAAGAGGCAGCCAAACCTAACATATATTCCTCTATCCCTTGAAATTGTGCTTTTTGCTGAGAAAATACTTCTAAGATTTCTAACTACTTCTTTGTTCTTTGCCTACATAGATATGCACGTTACTGAAGTGTCAAACCACTGACCTGAGAACTTGCGGGGAGCCCGTGGGATCAGCTTTTACCAAGTTTGAGGAATTCGCTCTCAGTGGCACATTTGGAACGAGTTATGTTTTCCCACAACTCATTCTCAGTGGGAGTCAGCTTGCCCCTGAAAGACATTATGAGGTAGGAGGTTTTCAGAATGATAACTTTCTTTAAACAGATGGGGTAGACTGGCATAATGTAAATCTTTAAAATAATGGGTCAGTATTGCAATATTGCGGTTCCCATTATACAAGCATTGCTGTAAAAACATGTAGAAGCTATGATATGGAAGACAAGTGTGGTTCTAGATTGTCTGTAAGCTATGATGGAGAATTTGGCGTTCATTTTTCTACATAAATATGATTTTGAGATCCAAGGCAACCATAAGGTTATGGAGAAATAAAAATATTGATTGTGGATGGTGGCTGGCAACTAATGTCCTCCTTATTTGCATGGTGTAGAAGGTCCATTAAATAAGGCACCCACAACTTTCTTTCTTTCTTTCTTCCTTCCTTCCTTCCTCCCTTCCTTCCTTCCTTCCTTCCTTCCTTCCTTCCTTCCTTCTTTCCTT